GTGCTTTCAGATGGAGCAACATTTACTACACAGAGCCGTAGTTCACGGAGAAGCTATGCAAACAGCTGTCATTATCGCGAACGATTTCTTCGATTTCATAATCGTACGATTATATTGTCTTCGGGGTTTGTTTTTTTTTGCGTAGCTTGTTGGAGAACTACGGCTCTGTGTAGTAAATGTTGCTGCAGGTGATAGAGATTTACTACTAATCACAGAACCGGCTTTACTGACAAGGTGTGCATGACAATTGCATTCGATTAATCGTGCAGCCCTATATGAAAGGTCGATGTTTCTCAATCCAAAGATCCAGTGTTAACATGATTTCTCTAGGGCAGGATTGAGAAATACTCTTGAAGGTTGGCAGAGAAGAATACTTTTACATTTAAAAGTGGCCTCTATTTCAGTCTTGAGTATTTCCTCTGCATTGTGCTGTTGGCTTTTTGTCTTATCTCATAGTTACCAATTTCAGCTGCAAAAAAAAGTGTCTTGGCTTTGTGATTTACTTTAAAATGAATGTGTGAAGCAGTCAGTTTAGTAGGAATCTGGTTCATATACACTTCATGATGTATTAAAATATGCATGATCTTCTGTATTCAGTAGACGTTTCCTTATCCTGAATAAGGACCGTTTATCAGTTGTTGAGAGCTTGTTGTTGCCTCTGTGACTTATTAATTATCTCTTTTTCAAGCTTATTTTCTCATCATCCAAAGCATCATCATTGCTCCCCAGCCCCTATTCTGTCCCTGTCATCCCCCTGTCACGCTGTCTGTCCCCTCTGTCTCTCATCACCTGAGGATTAACCGTTGGAGTGTCTCTCTGTAATATAGGGATACCTTCCGAAAAGCAAATGGGAGATGGACACATCAGAAGCAAAGCTTGGTGGGTATTTGTAGTTTACACAAAATATTCATAGCAATATATGTATCTACTGTATGTTGTTGTTGTTATCTTTAATACTTTATATATGGTTGTTGTCTTTAATATAATTGTTTTCAATATTTGGTGTCGTCATATATAGGTAATCTTTTTTTCAAACTGGGTTGATTAGTCTTTGATAGTTCAATAACTGCTTTTCCATCTGTGAGAATCGCGTCGTGCTTTAAATCACCTGAAACTATTTGACATTAACATTTTGTTCTCAGACAGTTAAAGGAAATAGTTCACCCAAAGAATGAAAATGTACTCACCCTCAGGCCTTGTAAGATATAGATGAGGTTGTTTCTTCATTGGAACAGATTTGGAGAAATGTAGCATTACATCACTTGCTCACCAATGGAGCCTCTGCAGTGAATGGGTGCCGTCAGAATAAGAGTCAAAACAGCTGATTAAAAACATCACAATAATCCACACCACTCCAGTCCATCAGTTAATGTCTTGTGAAGCAAAAAGCTGTGTGTTTGTTGGGTTTTTAACTTTCAGCTAAAATAGGAGTCCTCTATCCACATTACTTTCACCAGTAAAAAATGTTGTTTCTTAGGGTAGGTTTACATGACAATAATGTACTGTAAAGACAAAAGGTTTTCCTTTGCATTTTGCGTAGTCAACAACGTTTTCGAAATGATCCCTGTCCACACGCCACCGTTTTCACAATTTATTTTAGTTTACACATGTAATGACAGTATCGTTTTCAACAGCTTGCACTTTGGAACACATTTTCAAAAGTTGTTGTGTAAATGAATGGCAAAAAAACACAAGTTTTCCATTTTTAAAGGTCTTGTAAATGCCCTTTTATTATGATGATGATTTTATCAGCTGTTTGTCTGATTCTGACGGCACCCATTCATCGCAAAGGATCCATTGGTGAGCAAGTAAACTTGTGAGCACATGAAAGTTTGTATAAATGTCCGAAGTGTGGCTGGTTTAAAAAAACGCTAACCCAGCAGTGTGAAAAGCTCTTGAAGCTGCACATGATATACGTCTTTGGACAGCTGTCGATCTTAACACAGTAATAGCTTTTATCATATTAGTATGTGATTTGCCAGGTTTTAGTAAATAAGTGTTCATCAGATGTAGAGTTGGTGATGACTTTAGATGCTGCTTTGTCCTTCCAGACAAACTGGATGGTCTGGCGGGTGGAGGCAAGAGAAAACGAGAAACTGATATGTCTGGCATGGAGGACTTCCTTCAACTGCCCGATGACTATGCCAGTCGCATGTCTGAACCTGGCAAAAAGAGGGTAATGTGCTGCACGTATTTCATATAGTAGCTTTGAATTACTGTTTATAGTCACCTGTTGTTCAGTTTTTATTTTGAATGTTCTTGAGAATTGCAGATTGAGACCCCTCTTTTGAAAAGGCTTGAATAGTTGGTCTGTATTTTTGTTGTTGTTGTTGGTCTGAACAAGACTCTCACTAGTTGGTAAATTAATCTGAAATTAATAGCTTTTCTTGTTCAGTTTGGGGAGGGTCATGATTTAAACGAGCATTTTGTGCTCATTAAATTCTCTGATTTTGCAGGTGCGCTGGGCTGATCTCGAAGAGAAGAAGGATGCCGACAGAAAGCGCGCGATTGGTTTTGTAGTCGGTCAGACGGACTGGGAGAAAATCACGGATGAGAGCGGCCAGCTTGCTCAGAGAGCTCTTAACCGCACCAAGTATTTTTAGGAGATTTTGTAATGACATTTGTACAGCGTTTATGGTAAGTTTCTAATAATTCGGCTCTTTTGATTAGCCAAGATTGATGCAGATAGAAAGCTAGAGACTCTAATTTTATTTCCTATATTTGCCAAGTTTTAGAACATGCTTGCTTATTTACATCTTAAACCATTTAAGTGTAAGAATGTTTTAGGTATAGATTCCCAAAAAAATTCCTTTTGCAGTTATTTCTGAAGGAAAAAATGTAACATTTTTAGATTGACTGGGCCTTATTCAGTAACTGTGTAGTAGTAAATGTGATCCACTATCATTATACAAACACGTTATTTAAATTCTCTTCATGTCTTTTTAACTAGTCATCTTTTTCCAGGTCACCAGTTCATGAAATTCTTCATTTCCAAAGTGTACTGCCTGATGAAGAAAGAGCATCGTCTCTTCAGAAACTGGCGATTAGTCATTGGTCGATCCCGTAGTACATGCAGTGGCCTTCATATAATATCTGGTGTAATGTAAATCCCTTTTTTGTTTTATCCGCAATCTTATTTTAATAGGTTAAGCATTGTGTGTGGTTTTGTATCAGTGGTGCATTTGATTGTAGGTGATATCCTTACTTTCTTTATTTTTAGTCCATAGATCTAATGTGTTTGGACCTGAAATATTCTTGTAGTTCACACACATGTACACACTCAATAAAGCTTACAAAAAAAGACTCATAAAACAATCATTTTTCACTTTGTTGCTATTAAAAATCTGTCTGTTAAGCTGAATTGTGAAACTTTGGTTTGGTGACTGAGCTGTAATTTAAAGATTCGAAAGAAACTCTTCAGATAGACGCATGACTTGCTTACGAAATAGTTTACTGGTTTCTCATGTGGCAACATATTGAATGACAGGTCTGTTCCAGTGGTTGTTTTATTGGCCTGCTTATTATTGGTTTGCCACATAAGTTGCCAGAAAACATGGGCATAAATGTTGCATCAAATACATAAGACGTATACAGAGTTTGGCTAGACCAATGCTTCGTGTCATGAAACATCTCAATTTACATTTGTATTTGTATATATTTTTGGAAAATTACACGTGACCCTGAAAACCTTATATGTAAATACTGCAGTTTAAACGTGAGCTTCTTGTCTGATTTTTGATAAAAAGCAATCCGTTCGTAATACTAAGAGCCAGAAATAAGCTTTATTAATAACAAGAGTTCAATATGCAGTTGTATGTATTGTGACGTAAACCTCATTGGTTGGAATATGTAATGCATTTGCTAAGGCTTTAGATTTTGCAGTGATATTTGGGTTCTTTAATGAATGCACACTGGGTATTAGTGCACTTGTATTATCAAGTTGTCCACCCGACAGTGATGTTCATTAAATGTGCATAAAACATTCAGCATCTATATATTCAGACACAAATACGAATGAGATGCCATTAAAGGTAAGTGTGAACAAACTGCAATCCATGATAAATTTGCACTCTGTGAATCTATTATCTATTTTAAATCAGTGTTTAATGTGGTGCTTTAATTGCTGTTATTTTATTCTCTGGCAGTTAATGGATTAATTACATGATTACAAACATTTTATTGGCAATTTGAGTAAATAGTTCACTCAAAAAACACTAGTTGTTCGGTTGGGCTTTACACCATCTTCTTTGCAACATGGTTTAAGTGAAAAATGAATTAAAGTCTACACCTAAAATAAAGTTATATGGATTTTCTTCTAGACCTGGAATGTAATTCAGGAGTTGTAGGACTACTGCTCTATGGTACTTGTGTTGTCTTTGGAGCTTGACAATTAATGGCTGCTGTCTGTTACTTCAAAGAAAATAGTGTTGCAAAGAAGAACGAATATATAGTTTAGGAGCAATGTGTGGGTGACTGATTTTTGGGTGAGCTATTCTGAATGCACAATGTGACCGTTCAACTGCTCCCTCTGGAGTATAAACATGTAATATTCCTCCTGTTCAAAATTGATAATGTAGTTGATGCTTTTGTGTTTGGAGTCATTGACAATATGAAAAAAAAATCACAGTCAAAACAAATGACTTGTTGGTTGGCAACTTAATACACACCTTTGCAATGAAGAGAGAGAGAGAAAACACTAACATCAATTGTGTATTGCTACTAACATTACTTGTCCTTGAAACTTGTGGTTGTTGATTGCATACATCTATAAACAAAACAAAAAATAGGTTATAATATAGGTTGTCAGTCATTTAAAAATTTGTACAAAAAAATTTGATTTGACATTTAAACAAAACTTGCAAAAAATGCATCAAAACAAATGTATACATATACACATGAGCACTTTAATAATTTCAAAAGAAAAACCTCACTGCACCATTGAATTTACTTGTTTTGTGGCGTCTTAAACCTTCTCAGAGGCAGAAGTTGACATTTAATGTGCAACACATGTAGTCTGTGTCATAACCAAAAATTGGTTATTTTAAACTGGTATTAATCAAGATATTACTTTGCCATATTATCCCATAAGGCGGTATACTGTGCAGACTGCACAATATAATTAACAGCTTGATTGCTGTCACCTAAAAACGTTAATTCACATGATTTTGTATTAAGTGCTTCTAATACCTTAAAAAACGGCTGGGATAATGTGTAGGTCTGGATCAGACATTAATAAACTTGACTGAATTAAATATTTAGATGATTTGTTAAATGCCACAAAAGAATCAACACAAAGTTTTCCTATAGGCTTGAGTTTAATGCAGGACTGGATCCTGCTTACATTCAAGAGCAGTGCACAATGCATTGCTGTGATGACTCTTCATTCACTCTTGCTTTGAATAGTTTCTACACACACACAAGAAAAGGAAAAACTTTTAAACAAAGCTGGGGACCTGTAATGTTTTGGAGCAACAACCTTGTTTAAACGATCAGATCAAATAATTATATGGAAGTAAAAAAGCCTAATAATGAGGACCCCATTCCTATACACAGCTGGCTAAACAAGAATGGCATTACTAACACCAAACACTGGGTTTGATCGTTGTGTATTTTAACCTTTTATACCTCACAGGTCTGACAGCTTATTTAATGACTGGTATTCTGTTCAAATTTTAACAATCCAAAGGCTGATGAAACACGGGGCAATGCTGCCATCAACGGGCAACCAGGTGAGAGACAGGGCCCACGACCAATCTAAATGATCCATATAGAAATTGGTTACCCATTCTCAATGGGAAAGTGCCCAAGCAACATTGTTTAAAAAAAGTTGCCCCGTGTATCATCAGCCAAAGACTGGATCGGTTTTAAATGGACACAGTTCTACTACTCTCTTTTAGCAGTGAAATGCATTGAATTTTTAGGGGTAATGCCATTTAAAAGTGGTATGAACAATGAATACAAACTACTTTTGTTCCATTTGAATAATTTGTGAAAAAGTTACAAAACGAGTTGTTGCAAAAACGTGTTCTGTTTGAATAATGAGGCTACAAAGCGTTAGAGAATGTGTCAGTAATTGAAAAAAAAATACTACTTTGTAGGAGCAGTATAAAATCTGTAGTTCATTCCAAAATGTAAAAAAACTGTAAAAGTCAATGTATGCTGTCTTTCAAGGCAAAAATAATAATTTTGTGAGGGGGGAAGGAAATAGAAGTTACTGGAACTCTTTCCCTCTGCTATTCAATTCTGGTACATTACGATGTCTTCCTAGCAGCCCAATCAACTCCAGTTTTGCTTGGAAGTGTCAAGCCTACTCACTGTTTTTGCTGAAATCTCCCTGTCATCATTGGAAGGCCTGTATCTTGCCAATCAAAAATGGATGAGGGCTGTCTCTTTCTTAAAGTTATTAGTTATGCAATCACAATGGATAACAATCAGTGAGGACAATTTTGCATCTGATCTGAGCAAGGGCAGTGGCTTTTCAAAGAAGCTAATTGGTCACTGCCAATGCCACAAGAATCTGCCGCATTAATGGCAGAGCAAATAACTTCCCCTACAGGTGAGAGAAACAGCCACATCAGAGGCAGTATATAAAAGGCAGGCCAACCCAGTCTCATAAGAAAACTTTCACGTTTGGGCAAATTGGTGTCAAACTCGTCTATAGGAATATTTAAGACTTTTAGCGAAAAAGCGGCTTATTATAGAGAATATACAGATTTGCCCATTCAAAAAAAAAAAAAAAGAGGTTATAAATTGCCATGAGAGTGTGTTGGACAGGCCACGTCTATTGCAATTAACAGCAAAAATTGGAATGCCCAATGTTCCTTAAATAGTAAATGAAATGGCCCTTTGACAAATTCATCACTCGGTTTTATAACAGATTTTTTTCTGTTTAATGACGTCAGCACAGTTACTGCTAGAAGCTCCGGATCCAGTGTAAATGAAGCTCACAGCTGAACAATTGCATTTATTTTGAATTGGCAGCTGTTTAGAAGTATTCGGACACTTACTTTCTCAAACAACAAGTAAATCGCTAATATTAAAGCATAACAATCCCCCTTCCCAACTGCCTCTCCATGTTATGACTCCAATAGGTCCTAGTGAAGTTCTTGGGATTGTGGATGTTCGTCAGCCAATCAGCGTCGTCATGATGTAATTTCCCTGCAGCTCCAAAGCGATTAGTTACATGGCAGTTTACATCTCGGGGAAGAAGTGAAAACGTCTGACCATGAAGATTTTTTTTGCATCACAATCTTTGCGGGGGTCCTACTCCAGTTGAGCAGCTTCTTTTTGAGAGAAGTGGAAATGCTAAAGGATGACTCTCCAGGTATTTCACATCTCAGATTAAAGGGATAGTTCACCCAAAAATGAAAATTTGATGTTTATCTGCTTGCCCCCAGGGCATCCAAGACGTAGGTGAATTTGTTTCTTCAGTTGAACACAAACAAAGATTTTTAACTCAAACCGTTGCAGTCTGTCAGTCATATAATGGAAGTGAATGGGAATCACGCCTTTGAGAGTCAAAAAAACATACACAAACAAAACCAAATTAAACCCTGCGGCTCGTGACGATACATTGATGTGTAAAGACACAAAACGATCGGTCTGTGCAAGAAACTGAACAGTATATCGTTTTTTACTTCTGATTCACGCAATGTCCGAACTGTTCGAACTTTCCTGAGCGCGTTGTCAACAGCAGGCGCGTGAGGCGTCGTCTTCTTGCTTTACGACGGATCGCAGACTCATAAGTGCATTACCGCCACCTATCTCTCAAGTGGAATTAAAGGGATAGTTCACCCAAAAATGAAAATTTGCTGTTTATCTGCTTGCCCCCAGGGCATCCAAGACGTAGGTGACTTTGTTTCTTCAGTTGAACACAAACAAAGATTTTTAACTCAAACCGTTGCAGTCTGTCAGTCATATAATGGAAGTGAATGGGAATCACGCCTTTGAGAGTCAAAAAAACATACACAAACAAAACCAAATTAAACCCTGCGGCTCGTGACGATACATTGATGTGTAAAGACACAAAACGATCGGTCTGTGCAAGAAACTGAACAGTATATCGATTTTTACTTCTGATTCACGCAATGTCCGAACTGTTCGAACTTTCCTGAGCGCGTTGTCAACAGCAGGCGCGTGAGGCGTCGTCTTCTTGCTTTACGACGGATCGCAGACTCATAAGTGCATTACCGCCACCTATCTCTCAAATGGACCATTGACGCTCTATCTACAATATCAATTATGAGTGTCAATGGTCCACTTGAGAGATAGGTGGCGGTAATGCACTATAAGTCTGCGATCCGCCGTAAAGCAAGAAGAAGAAGACGACGCCTCACGCGCCTGCTGTTGAGAACGCACTCAGGAGGATGCCCTCAGGACAGTTCGGACATTGTGTGAATTAGAGGTAAAAAAAACTATATAAATACTGTTCAGTTTCTTGCACAGACCGATCGTTTTGTGTCTTTACACATCAATGTATCGTCACGAGCCGCAGGGTTTAATTTGGTTTTGTTTGTGTATGTTTTTTTTACTCTCAAAGCCGTGATTCCCATTCACTTCCATTATATGACTGACAGACTGCAACGGTTTGTGTTAAAAATCTTTGTTTGTGTTCTAAGTCTCAAATTCAAAGAGATATTCTTAATAAAAGTTGAGTCAACCACGCCTACCTAAAACAGCTTGTTCTAACATGTAACAAGATTTGCATAATCTGTTCACACAAAGAAAGAAGGCGTAACTTTTATTCTCGCTGTAGTATTGTTGCCGCCGCCATGTCGTGGAGACACTGTGTGTTTCGTTGTGAAAGTGAAACTACTTTGTTTGGCCTTCCAAAAGAGGACGATATCTGCTTCGTCATGCCTAGAGATGATCCGTGCTGGTCGCTGAGGAAATGCATCAACTTCGCGCTGTGGATCGCCGGATCGGCTTTCACCGTGGACGAAGCGGAGTCCAGCCCGGGGTCGTCACATGGTGGTTGCCACAAATCCGCCGGCTGCGCCGTTCTCAAGCTCACTGGCCTCCTCTCACTCAGCCCGCCGGCCTCCACTTACCCGCCGTGTGTGACGCTGTGTTTCGTTGTGAAAGCGAAACTACTTTGTTTGGCCTTCCAAAAGAGGACACGACTAGAAATCAGTGGTTAAGTTGTATTTACAACACTGTTCCAGAACACTTCAACCCAAATATTCAGACGTGTGCAGCACATTTTATGGAGGACTGTTTCTTGATCCTGGTAGAGTAGACTACAATGCTGGCTGTTCTGACTCACTGCAAGACTGTAAGTACGTTTTTTTATATTTAAAGAATTTGCCACTGATGATTCAAACGCGAGTTTTGGGCAGTGTAGAGTAGCGCTTGTTGTTTGTCATTTCCCTGATCACAAATGCAGACATGGTTTTATGTTACGCTCCGGCCTGACAGGGCATCATCACAGTATGGTAAGGGGTGTAACATTTCCGTCACACGCTTGAGGTATTCGGCCAATCACAACGCACTGGATAGCTGGCCAATCAGAGCACACCTCGCTTTTCAGACCGATGAGCTTTGTAAAAATCGACGCGTTTCAGAAAGGCGGGGCATAGAGGAGAAACAATAATGTACAGTATGTGGAAAATAATGTGTTTTTTTAACCTTAAACCGCATAAACACATTTCATTACACCAAATACACCAAATAATGTTATTTTTAGCAACATCAGATGACCCCTTTAATTAATTGGTTCAGGAGTATTTGATCAAGGTTGGAGCTGAACTTTGCAGGAAGGTAAAAAAAAAAAACTAGTTTAACTGCAGTTTGCATGTGTCAAATTGAAATACTTGGCAAGCTACAATTTCTTAGTAGTTTCCCCCCACACTGTATGCAAGTTGTTCATATATTAATTATATAAACATTTTATTGTTTGTTTAAAAACATAATAAAATTGTATCAGCTGAGGCATGAATTGAAATCAGTCTGCATATTTAAAAAAAAATTGTTACACCAAAACATTTTCCTTTCATGCTTTTGTTTCGAAAAGAGCATCAAAAGAATATTAATTCATTTTTGTCCTATTAAAAACAAAAACAAATGTGTGGCTTTAGTTTTATTCATGTTCTTCTTATAAATTATTGTTACTCTGCAATTCTTCACTATTTTTAATGGTTTCTTGTGATCATGAAGAAAATTTTCACTTAGGTGTAAATAAATATTCCTGTCTGTTATTTTCAGGCTTTAGGTTTAAGCAACTTGAACATATGTGATAAAATTTTTTGTTGTTTTTTGGCACAATTAATATTCTTGGCAACATACTTCAGTTTCTTTATATAAACTGGCACTCTTCCTTCAGGAACTGTCTATCTACCCCATATGACATTACACACTTGTGAGACATTTCATACACATGGGAATCTGTTACAATTCATCCTACTGAGTGCATACATTTACTGTATGTCAGGTGCTGTATTATGTTGCACAACATCCTTTTGCCTAAGTTAATTGTCTCTCATAAATCAAAAGTGAAGGAACACCACTTCATTCCTCATGCACCAATATATTACCCAGGAAACATTTATGCAGAGTTATGCAATACATAAAGACAGTAATGATTTTGTTTGTTTGATTCTTATTTGAAGGATGATGAATAACACGATGGCAACCCAGTTTTTCAAAAAACAAGATGTGCAGTGTCCTGACTAATGCATCGCTTAAAGGGATAGTTCACCTAAATATGACAATTTACATGATTTACTTATTTTCTCATGTCATTCCTAGCCTGTGTGACTGACTTCTTAATGTGAAACACTAAAAGAGAAATTTGGAATAATGTACTGGCTTCTCTTCTCCACATAATGAAAGTGAATGGGGATCTGGGCTGTAACAAAAGTAAATTATTTAGCCATAAAATGACTCGTGCTGCACATTTGGGGAGAGTTATATTTAATTTATTCACTGACCGTCCTCTACTGTCCACAATCAATTCAAATTCAAATATGGCATATTTAGACATGTCATTGATGTGACCGATTCTCTTTAGATTCTAAGAAAATAGTGACTTAAATTTGGACATTTTGCTATTGTAAGTCATATTAAGTAGTTTTTAATATAATCTTATTTCTCTTTTCTTCATTTTGGAGCTTGACTGGCTGGATCTCCATTCATTTACATCACGTGGAGTACACTGGCCAGTACATTTGTTAACATTCTTTGTTCCACATGCGGGTTTGAAAAAACATGAGGTGTCAGTGAATGAAGATGAGAATATTTTTCGAGTGAACTATGTCTTAAAGTCTCTATGTCTTGGTACTACTGAACAGATGGCCTGCAAGCTGCCATCGGGTCTGCTTATCAAATATGGGAAGACGCTTCTGACAGCATAACACCTCAGGTAAGCCTTTTTCATACCATGCATTAATAATATGATTAGTAGTTTTGTTTTCATGGCACATTTTCAAGTGTTTTTGGACATTTCAATAAAATATCTATTATTTAAAATAAAGATTATTTCCAATCCAATTTGTGGTCTTGTTTTCAATCAAACTGGTTTAACTGTCGTTTTATTAGCACGCTTTTGTTGTGTCAGTTGTAATGCTTTGGTTATGGTTGGTGATGCAAAATTGTCAAATGGCCTTGCATGAAAAATATACACATTTCACAGGGTAGTTCAGTCTTTCCAAAATTTCCAATGATTATAAGAATAATCTTAAATGTAATCAGACAGAAGACGCCCACTAAAATGTCATTCAGTGTAACAGTAGTTCATATACCAAAAATATCTTGTCAGGCATATTAGAATCATTAGATGACATTAAAAGACTCTGTTTGAGGATCACAGTGCAGCCCCCTCAATTCTCAATTCATTGTAATTTTAAATCTTTACCACTAGGTTTTACCCATTTGCCAGCAAAACGTTTTCAATCATTTAAAATATAATAAAATTTAGTATGATCACTTTTTCCTTTTATATATTTTACAGTACAAATTAGAATATTGTTTAGTTTTTACATAAATATATCTGTTACGCTGAATGATGATTGAACATTATTTCACAGATATTTTGACATTTTATTTCAAACATTTAAAAAGACATACAAATGTATAACATGTTGACGGTTATCTTTATTTAAATGATCTGCATGTTATATTATGAATAATAAAAACTGCATAAAAACATTTAGGGTGCATCTCAATCAGCTCCCGAGCTCGTGAATCAGTAGATGGTGTACACTAATTTGGTCACTGGTAAGTTCCCTGACTCACTGCATGTTGGGACAGTGATCACTCGAATTCCAGTGAACGTCACCACTTGAATTAATAAACAACAGACAGGACTGATCTCTTTTTGATATAATTTTTTATTCTCTTTAAACACATCGGTCTGTTACATGTTCTTACAACATTTCAGCCGAATGTTAATTATAAATGTTAAATAAATGTGTTCATTACCCGTCTAGCGAGGTTGAAAAAAAGGAATTATGTTGAAAAAAAAAAAAAACAGTTTTTCAAAATCTTCTATAACGTGTCATTATATTTATCGAGTTGGCTCGTGTGATTTATGTTTTACGCTTCAGAAATGTGACGTTATTTCCGGTAAGGAAGCACAGTGAACTCCGATGTTTCCTAGTTTTGTGGTGCATTGTGGGATTTTTCAGGGAGTGAACGTTCCAGTGCACTGGAAGGATTTCGCAATGTAGACAGGCCTTAAAATGGCCGACTACCTGATCAGTGCCCTGACTACTGAACAAGGGAGCTGACTGAGACGCACCCTTAGAAAGGGTTTATTTGGTCCTCTACTGGAAATGGATCAAAACCTGTTCTGAATGTACTCAGTAAATAATGGACTCTTAATCATTTTAGTTGCGGTACATTAGGAAATAATAAAAGTTGATATAAAAACCGTACTAAACCATCTTTGTTTTTAGATAAATTAAAAATTTATGACAAGGACATATCACAGCTTTGAGGCACAACGGTTTAGAGTATGACTTCATATCCTGCAATGGTTCAGTCAGAAGGAAGAGCCTGAAGGACAGCCTGTGGCACTCTGCTTAAATAGTACTCATGATTCCTCAGTGTTGCCAGCACTCCAGCAGAGTTCATGTGCTTCACATTGGCATCATATCTGTATGCATTACCATGCATGTCTGTCAGTTTGCCTGTATATGAAAAAGAACATAAATTTAGCCTAAAAATCAAGCACATTTTCAAGAATGGTCATGCAAAAAATGAATGTCACCTCCAACTGCGTGCAAAATGGCTTCAGGCGCACATGTGTCCCACTTTTTACATCCTGGACTGGCAAACACATAAGCAGAGGCCTTTCCCTCCACCAGCTGGATGATCTACCAGGCCCAGAATGAAGATGTAATTAGTTCAACTTCTACGCCAATACTGACTATCAAATCAAAGGCTAGTGACCCACCTTATTCCCAGCTCCTCCCACTTGGATGACATCATGAGGCTCCATGGCTTGCACTGCGTCAATAACAAGTTTATTGCTATGGGACCGTGTAGTAGTGACGATTCTTTTACCATCTGGGACTTCCTGGAGCTGAAACCCAAATGTGCCCAAACCCAATACTCCCCATAACGTTCTGCCCAAAGAAGCACCTGCCCCCATCTGAATGAACAGAGAGAATAAAACAGGTCAGTCAATCCCAGCCTCTACCAAATATAGTGTAGCATGTGTGAGCAACCAACAGGTTGGACCTGGTAGTTGTAGAAGGGTTGATTGATGACTCCAGCAATGGCTGTCCCTCCATAAGCAATGCCTATTAGCACTGTCACATGATCCAAAAGCCCTGCAATAAAACGGCACACAAACAACATTATACAAAGTATTTATTAGTCAGTTCCAACATTAAAATATTGTTAACCCCACTATGCTCTTGTATATGGCATTGTATGGGTAAGACCTTAGGATGTGTTCACATATGGTAAGATTTGTTCAGTTAAACAAACTGGTTCAAAATGTGGTTCATTTGATAAGGTGAATGCTATCATCCAAACTTTGGTACACACCAAACAAGTGGACCAAGACCCACCTTTTTAGGGGGTCTTGGTCTGCTTGTTTGGTGTGTACCAAGGTTTGGGACCTTAGGACAGGGGTGTCCAAACTCGGTCCTGGAGGGCCACTGTCCTGCAGAGTTTATCTCCAACTTGCCTCAAAATACCTGTCGGGATGTTTCTAGTATGCCTAGCAAGACCTTGCTGGTTCAGATGTGTTTAATTGGGGCTGGACCTGAACTTTGAAGGACAGTGGCCCTCCAGGAGAAGGACTGGACACCCCTTCCTTAGGATTTGTTCACACTTGGCAGGTTTGGTTTGATTAAACAAACTCTGGAGCGATTGCTCTGTTAGTGTGTTATTTCAATAACTGTGAACCCTGCCATCCAAACCTTGGTGCACACCAAACAAGCAGACCAAGACCCATCTTTTCAGGGGGTCTTTGTCCTAATGAACTCTAGTGCAGTTTACTAGAAATATGAACACAACACAGACTTAAGACATCTAAATGAACAAAACCCCATCAGAGTTTGGTACAGGCACTGGAACTTCGGTCTTCTTGCAGCAGATCTACATTTGTGCAAATTCCTGGCACTGTTTTGACTCCTTTAAGTTCCATCATATGATATGTCAAAAGTTGTTCAATCTGGTTGTAAACTTATACTTATGCCTTCAGTTTTGTATCTTTAGGTTTGGTGTAAAAAGAAGAAGAAGGTGTGAACACTAAGTTAACCAAGACAAAAAGGATCATATGCTATTTTTGTCCAGACCAAAAGAACCAAGAAAACCGAACACAAGTGTGAACACACCATTAGTGCTAATGCCTGTAATGCTGGTTTCAGTCAGGTCTGCAACATGTCCTTACCCATTACCACTTTCTTTCTGTTTTAATTTCCTGTGCATTCTTTGCTTTCTTAAAAATGTACTTTTCCAATAATGTGGTGTAATTTTGATTAACAACCAATTACAAACTAAAAATGGATGTCAAAGACAGATTTAACAGGTACATTGGATAGCTTGTAAAATACATTGTTTAGTTGCACTTCATCAGCAACAAAGCGCAAATTCAATGCTTTGTTTTGTCAAGTGATTGCTGGTCAGCTTTGAGAAATGGTAAATTCCCAACTTAACAACTGTTTTTGATTGACTACAACCTTTTACTCTAGTCTAATTTCAAAATGACATCTCATGCCCCAAAAAGAAAAACATTAAATCACCGTACGGTTGATGTAGGGCTGCTCTGCCTTCTGTATGTAAACTGGGCTGTACAAAACCCTTGCAGCTACAGCAGAGACAGAGAGAGAAATAGGAGGAAAGAAAGAGCAGATCACCATGTGACAGCAACAGATGTGTTGGACAAATGGAGGTCAATGAGAGAGAGAGAGAAGAATGAAGGATAGAAGCAAATGCTAAAAAAAATGCATCACTGTGCCACTGAAGTGGACATGCTTGCAACACTATCTCCTAACTAGACGCCAGCGCTAGGTAGTAACTGATTACATGTAATATGGATTATATAATTAGGTTTAAAAATTAAGGTCTTGTAATTAGAGTATATTACATCATAATGGTCATAATTAGATTACAGTTACTTTCTAATGGATTACATGATTACATATTATTTACAGAATGGCAGTAAATTCAAAATGTATGAATTTTCCCATATTCTTCTTTTTATCTTTTAAATGATCCTTTCTAAAAATTCTACTGTGTCATACCCTTTAGCTTTACTAAATTGACAATATAGAATGGTCATGTAAAATCAAATTTGCAAACCATGCTTCTAAATTTGGGTGAATAAAGCATAAAGCAATTAGACCATGTATTAAAAATAACTGCAAGTTATTAAACAATGGTGATGTATAGCTGTGAAACAGTATGTCTTCATTATATCCAGTAACCCTCAGTAATTGTCAGTTCTGCAATTGTTCAAACCTGGAGGACTTTGGGTGTGTAATTTTCATGCTTGTTTATTAATGTTTGTTCATGTAATGCAGCGATTCCCAAATGTTTTTGTCAGCCAAGCCTCGTTGACATGAAATATTTACTTGAAGTATCTCTGGAAAAATTAATATTGCAATAATTTAACAACACATTTGCATGTTTACAGGTTAGTGTAAGTTAATGGTCACACTGACATAAAGGTAAACAAATAAAATGTTTATATTTTTGGTGTTCAAGCGTTTGATTTATTTTATTTTACATTTTTATAATTTAATTAATCATTAGCTTTTTATCAACCCTCAAACCCACTGCAGTTCTTACATTAAAGGCAGGGTAAGCGATTTCAGGTAGCCAATGTTGATATTTGAAATCACCAATATAAACACGCCCCTACCCCAAAAGGGTATCACCCCTATTTTGATAGCTCCGCCCCACATATACGTATGCAACCCAGTCAACGATTAGTTCTGTGAAACAAAGCAAAACCAATGTTACACCGCGTCTACATCGCACGTGAGCGGCGCGGCGCAACAAATCCCCGACAGAAAACTGCTGCCGGGTTCTATTTATGACGAGCTGACACAAATTTCAAATGGTTTTCAACGGTCGTTTGATCGCGTCCAGTGTAGGCAGACTTTAGCTGTTGTAGACACGGTGTTACTCACCTATTGAGAAGAAACAAAGCAACCTCGGTGTCCGATCGCAGGCCTCCGCTCCTTGAGTTCTCTCCAGCGCTCGAAAGCTGATCCGATATTTACATGGTCCTACTTCTTGCCTTATCGTTCCGCAGACGTTTTCCTCTTTTGTTTTTTTTTATCCGCCATCTCTATCTTTCTGTCGCTCGGCTCGGCTAATGTCCGTCCCATGCACTGAAATCTCTCTCCTCCACATCACGAGTAGACACGCCCCTTATTGCTGATTGGCTACAAGTTTGTTTTGCTATTCGGCCCGAATCAGTTTTCTAAAGTGTTTTTGAAAAATTACATACCCTACCTTTAAGGCCAGTTTGAGAAACCCTGGTTTAATGTAAAGTTTAATGCATATTATGATGTTGACATAAAATAATTGAAATATTTTAAATGAAATAATACTGAAATATTTTCTTTGTATTTGCTTTTTTATGTCAATATAGTACATTTGATGGTAAGTTTAACACAAATTAGATCATAACGTAATCCAAAAGTAATCAGAATACATTACCTAAAATGAGTAACCTAGATTATGTTACTAGCCACAGTTTTCTAAATGTAATCTGTAATCAGTATCAAACTACAATTTGTTAGTAATCTACCCAGCACTGCTTGATGCAACAAGTAATTATCCTGTTTAAATAGTTTTAAAGTGAGGTCACGATTACGGTATTTAGCTAAATATCCCGGGCAAAAAAAGGTCCATTGTAAATAGCCTAGCCGTCACTTTTAAAGCAAGCAGCTTTCTGTTGGTCAGCGTGGAGAATTTGTGAGACCAGCTGAAACTGGGAAATATTTGCACTCGTGAAAACTTTCCGAACATGTGGATTCCAATTCAAATGGCTGCAAAATTTCGTAGAGCAATTGTAAATAGCTGGCCGTGTGAATGCAGCTTTACACTACAAATGCCTGCGATCACATGGGGTTTAGGACCTACAGATGTGGTTTGTGTAATCAGATGACAAAATTGTTTAGACTTATATTTAGTGCTGACTACTTGTGATCATATCGTTCCAGACAGATTTTTTAATACCAGGGGCCGGTTGCACCAGCTAGATGTAAAAAAGCTGGGTGTAAGCCCTACGCTGGGCTTTGCAACGTCCAACTTTACCTGTTGCACCAACTAAAACTACGATCAGGCGCAACTATGCCCGGAGTAGACTATGCGCGTCCACGCTGACACATTCTCCCTCAGTGAGCTGCGATGACATTCACGCAGCAATGGCTACAACTACTAATATAACACTGAATTGCTCAAGGCATCATTACAAGTGCAGCCACCGCACCATGATTTAATTGAGTAAACATTTCCTAGCAAGGCAGCATTTTTATATATGAAGTCTCCCGGCACATTCCCATGACAGATTTCTTCAAACATTAAAAATAAAGGCGATTATTTTTATATATTTTTTTCTAGCTGACTATCGAGTTTATGTAGGCTACAAAGAATGTCTTTCCTAAGGTAAATGTGACGTTACGTGACATTGTTCACGTGTTTTTCTGATGTCTTTCTGTGGCTGAAAACCCACATTTATAACGTTAGTTTTTATTTTGTGATAAAATTAGCCGAATTTGAAAGCGGATACCTTATTTCTGATTAAAAGTAACAAAGCACAAAACGTATGGCGATTATTGGATGGCAGGCACGCTACAAATAACGAATGGACTTAAAGACGTGAAATATTTCCAAGCATTTATACTGTCCTTCCAAGAAAGATGTCAAATTATACAGTTTCTTTAAATAATCCCACATAATATGTCATATTTTACTGCATAATTACATGCTGTACAGAAATATATTTTGTATTAGGTCAATTACTGCCGGCAGTGTGCTTCGCTTTTGCTATTGATATCGCTTATCCTGCCCGAAAAGACCATAAACATTACAGTTCACGTCTGCAGTAATAATTCATTATCAGAAATGAATCCTAAAAACTAATAATGTCCAAGCACATCATGACTTTTCACTTTACACCTACATTTAAATAGATAAGATTTAGTCTCAGACGTAGCACTATGGTGGTGCAACGGGTATTAATTCTACGTACGATTTAAAGCGCATTTTACGTCCAGCCTACAACTAGATGTACGTCCAGCTGGTGCAACCAGCCCCTGGTGACTTTATTGCACAATGATTTTTACAGCCTCAGCTGGACAAGACTAAAACTTCAAGAATGCAAGTGGAAGAGATGTTTTTTTTTATGTGCTGACATCAAATGTTGAAAGATACTTATCTGCTCACCTTCTGTATATTCTTTAGTGCCATCAAGAGGGTCAACCCACACAACCAGCTAAAAATAAAGATTAAACTTTAGTCAAATACAAAATAGAGTTACTTTATGTTCTATTAGACACTCTTTCAAAACTTGTTCAGAATAAGTTTCAAAAACGTATATAATACATTTATAGTTTTTCAAGCATTATGCCCATATTGTTTCTTCTCCCTCTTTACCTCTTCCTCCTTTAGGCTGGCATACTGATCTGGACAAGATTTTTGTAGAATTAGGCTGCTGTGCCCGTTCTCTAAAAGCTCCTCTTCAAAATCCTCAGCTGGTAATTCCTGCACAAACAGAATACATTCTCAATCAAAATATAATGTTCCACTGGTTGGAGCCAAAACAGGCTGAGAGCGTCCTCATATTACAAGATGTACACACCTCCTCCCCGATGATGGTGACTTTAGGGAAGCTCTTCGACAGGGATCCACATATACTCTTCTGAACAAGCCTGTCAGCCAGAGTCTGTAGATCATTGGCTCCTGTCTGTGCCCCAAAGAAGCACAGGTTACAAATATGTGACCCTGGACCACAAAACCAGTCTTAAAGGGTTAGTTCACCCAAAAATGAAAGTTAGGCTGCGTTTTACTCACCCCCGAGGCATCCTAGGTGTATATGACTTTCTTCTTTCAGACGAATCCAGTCGGAGTTATATTAAAAATTGTCTTCGATCTTTCAAGCTGTTTAATGCCTCTCAGCGGGCGTTGCATTGCTTCTGTCCAAAAGAACTTAAATAAAAATCGCCCATCCATAAAAAAAGCGAACGGGGAGTGAACAAAGGCCTTCTGTAGCGAATCGATGCGTTTTTGTAAGAAAAATATCCATATTTAAAACGTAATACTCACTTGAATCTAGCTTGCTCTCACTGTTGTAAACAGAAGCAGTTCCGGGGGAATGACGTATGAGGTCGGCGTTGCGCATGCGCCGCTCAGAAGTGACGAACTTGCAAAAAAGTGCAGCGGAGAGATCAAAACAACACAATGGTCAAGAATTAGAAGTACAAAACGAGGATTTGTAAAGAAGAATGTCAGAGGATTTCGATATAAGCCAAGAGGAGACTGGTTTTCCTTTGCTAAAGTAAGGAAACTTTGCTTTCTTTGATCCTGTAAGCAAATGTTGGTTTTCACGAGACTCACCGGCGCATGCGAGACACCCCCCCCCCAGTGTGAGACACTTTTTTTTATTTTTATGGATGGGTGATTTTTATTTAAGTTCTTTTGGACTGATGCAATGCAACACCCGCTGAGTGGCATTAAACAGCTTGAAAGATCAAAGACAATTTTTAATATAACTCCGACTGGATTCGTCTGAAAGAAGAAAGTCATATACACCTAGGATGCCTCGGGGGTGAGTAAAACGCAGCCTAA